TCTGCCTGTAATCTGTTTATGCATTCAAAGGGTAAGGTGGGAATAAAAATGGCTAGGTACACAATTAGAGAACTGTCACTCATAGGACACAAAGAGAAACAGAATTTGACCTGGACTCTTCCTCGATACTTGGCCTTATAAGAAACAGAGTATCAGGTAGAAAATGTAACCAGCTGTCAGAGAATTAATGTTATATTCATTGCAGAAAATCAGGATTAGAATGATGCAATTTTCTGAGAGTAAAACCAAGACATTTGTTCTGGGAAATGGTGGGGGCTGTGGCATGATTTTGATAAGGCTCAGGAAAGTGACATGGAACAGTCTTCTAAAAGGGTAATGAGAGACTGTGAATAACAGAGACTTGGTGGAATATTTTGCTTACTTGGAGCACTGTCATGGATGCTATAAACTGTTCAGGAAAGACAGGCACGGAGCAGAGGAGGAGGAGTTGCACTGTATGTGAAAGAGCCGTATGATTGTTCAGTGGTCCAGTATGAAATTGGAAATAGGTCTGTTGAAAGTCTCTGGGGTAGGGTCAGAGAGGAGAGCAACAAGGATGATGTGGTGAGCAACAAGGGTGATCACCAGACCAGGAGGATGTGGTGGATGAGGCTTTCTTCAAACAGCTAACACAAGTTTCCCAGTCACAGGTCCTGGTTCTCATGGGGGACTTCAATCACCCTGATACCTGCTGGGAGGGCAATACAGCAGTGCACAAAAAAATCCAGGAAATTTTTGGAGAGTGCTGGACACAACTTCCTGGTGCAAGTGTTGAAGAGGCCAACTAGGGGCTATACTGTTCTTGACCTGCTGTTCTCAAATAGGGAGGAATTGGTGGGGAATGTAGTAGTGGATGGCAACTTGGGCAGCAGTGACCATGAGATGACCAAATTCAGGATCCTGAGGAAAGGAAGGAAGGAGAGCAGCAGAGTATAGGCACTGGACTTCAAAAAAGCAGACTTTGACACATTCAGGGAACTCATGGGCAGGACCTCCTGGGAGGCTAGTTTCAGGAGAGGAGTCCAGGAGAGTTGGCTGTAGCATAAGGGAACTTTACTGAGAGTGTAGAACCAAACCACCTAATGTGCAGGAAGACTAGCAAGTATGGCAGAAGACCAGCTTGGCTTAGTAGCAAACTCTTCAGTAAGCGAAAAAAACAAAAAGGAAGTCTATAAGAAGTGGAAATTTGAACAAACAACTAGGGAGGAGTATAAGAGTATTGTTTAGGCATGCAGGGAAGAAATCAGGAAAGCCAAAGCACAATTGGAGTTGCAGCTAGCAAGGGACATGAAGGGTAACAAGAAGGGTTTCTACAAGTATGTCAGCAACAAGAGGGGAATCAGGAAAAGTGTGGGTCCTTTATTAAATGGGAGAGGCAACCTAGTGACAGAAGATGCAGAAAAGGCTGAAGTAGTCAATGCCTTTTTCATCTAACTCTTCACAGGCAAGGTCAGCTCCCAGACTACTACACCTGGTAGCACAGCTTGGGGAGACAGTGATTAGCCAACTGTGACAAAAGAATGGTTTAGGGACTGTTTAGAAAAGCTGGATGTGTACAAGTCCATGGGGCTGGATGGGATTCACCCAAGGATGCTGGGGGAATTTGGCTGATGTAATAGCAGAGCTGCTGACCATCGTCTTTGAAAACTCATGGTGATTGGGAGAGGTCCCATATGATTGAAAAAGGGCAAATACAGTGCCCATCTTTAAGAAACGGAAGAAGGAGGATCCAGGGAACTACAGATTAATTAGCATTCCCTGGAAAAATCATGGAGCAGGTCCTCAAGGAATCCATCTCTAAGCACTTGGAGGAGAAGAAGGTAGTTAGGAACAGCCAGCAGATTCACCAAGGGTAAGTCAGGCCTGATTGCCTTCTATGACAAGATGACTGGCTCTGTGGATGCAGGGAGAATGGTAGATATGATATATCTTGAATTTAGCAAAGCTTTTGATATGGTCTCTCACAAAATTCTCACAAGCAAGTTAAGGAAATACAGGATGGATAAAGGGATTGTACAGTGGATAGAAAACTGGGTGAATCATTGGGCTTAGAGGGTAGTCAATGGCTTGATATCTAGTTGGTAGCCAGTATCAGGGGTCAGTCCTGGGGCCAGTTTTGGTCAATATTTTCTTCAACAACCTGGAAGATGGGATACAGTGCACACTCAGCAAGTGTGCAAATGACACCAAGCTGCAGGGAGTAGTAGATACATTGGAGGGTAGGGCTAGGATTTAGAGGGACCTAGACAAATTGGAGGATTAAAACAAAAGAAATCATGAGGTTCAACAAGGACAAGTGCAAAGTCCTGCACATAGCATGGAACAATTCCATGCACTGGTACAGGCTGGGGACTGATTAGCTAAGCAGCAGCTCTGCAGAAAAGAACCTGGGGTTACAGCGTACAAGAAGCTGAATATAAGCCAACAGTGTGCCTTTGTTGCCAAGAAGGCTAATGGCATACTGGGCTGCATTACTAGGAGCGTTGCCAGCAGATCAAGATGACTTATGAGAAAAGGCTGAGGGAACCGGCCTTATTTAGTCTGGAGAAAAGAAGACCAAGTATTAGCATAAGCACCAAGTACATGGGGGCCCAAGGGCCCTGGCCCCCCTTGGGAAGAAACCAGGGTGACCACCTGTCCCTAACTAAAGACTGATAAACCCAGGTTGCTGTGGAAACCTGCAAGGGGCTGCAGGGAGCAGGATGCAGGTGGCACCATGTGCATGTGTGTGTATGCACGTGGCCAGGAATACAGCCCCAGGCAGCAGTGGAGAGCAGCTCCCCCAGGTATAAGTCTGCCTATGGGGGGGAGGCAGATCAAGGCCCCCACAGTGATGGAGGGAGTGGGATAGGGGCTGGGCCTGGGGCTGCTGCCCAGCCAGGGCAGTGCATGGGACTTAGGGCTGAGGCAGAGAGCATTACAGAGCCATGGGCACCTCATTCAGGGGGTAGGGGGGCCACCTCCCTGCTGCTTTGTGCACTCCTGGGGAGAGGGGCATGGGGGGGCACATTCTCCCCAGATTTTTGCGTGAGGCAGAAGTGGATGTGGGCTGTCTGTAGGGGGCTCAGGGCTCCCCACCCTGTTGCCCTCCCCTGGGATCCCTGTGCCACCATGGTGAGGCGAGGTGCCCCCTGCATCTCCACCACTCCCACAATTACTACACCTACAACAGAACCATCAACATTCTTGGATCTTACACCTGCACTTCCAGAAATGTAATAAATCTCATCCAATGCACCAAATGCCCTGATGGAAAATATGTAGGTTGAAAACAACTGAGCACCAGAATGAATGCACACCAAAATGCTATCAATTACCTTTGGAGGCACATTTCTCACAAGAAAACCAATCTCTCTCCAACCTCTCAGTTTTAATCCTCAAAGGGAATTTACAAAATACCTTTCAGAGATGAGGCCATGAACGTCACTTCATAAATCTACTGGATACAAAAGTCATGGACTAAATATAGATATTGGATTTACCACACATTATAACCTGCCTAACATCTGGGTCCCCAGGTAAACCCTCCACTCTTTACCAGCTATTCTCATTCCCTTTCTCCCAACCCTCCTATCTCTCATCCTTTGACTACAGCTACATTCATTCCTCCTTCTTCCCACCTGTCTCTCACCTACTGACCATCTCAATTTACATTCTAAGCGACTGGCTTTCTTGCTGGCCTCTGGCTGCTTTACCACTCCATCCAGGAAGAGCACAGACTATTTGCAGACGCTTCCTCAGCCTAATGAAGGGTGTTTGTGCCCAAAAGCTTGCTAAGAAGAATTTTTCCAACTATTTGAGTTGGTCTAATAACAGATATTGGATTTACCCCCCAAAACCTTGTCTGCTTATGTCTTTAGACCAACACGGTTATAACCTACACCACTTACTTTTAGTGTTATTATCAATTGGTTTTTGGATTGTTAAACATATACTGGAAATTCACATCAAAGAATTTCAGATTCATATGTTTTGGCTTTGAGTACCTCCTGGGTAAATAATTTCTTTGTGTAAAGGAAGATGCTTTTAAGAGTGACTACCTTTTAATTAATCATTTCTTAATTTAATTTTTACTTCTAGTGTCTATAGACGTGTTTTACTGGACATGTTTTGAAAACTGGATTTCTAGCTTTGACTTTATAAGCATGAGTAGTTAAATTCAGAAGTGACTTAAATGATGCTATAATGTACATGTCACAAAACTAGAATAGGAGGAAATCAGCAAGTGAGCGCATAAGATGCTGTAGTTTGCACACAGATAGACAGAAAGTGATAATATCGCAGGAAGGTAAGTAACAGGAAGAGGTTAGATAAGTCATTTTATGTTGCACGCATACTGATGGCCTCAACTACTGAAAACACTTAGAATACTTCATCTGAATGCCTCTGAAGGACAGATTATTCCACACAGGTGTACGTGGAGCTGGGAGCGGGAAAGATCC